CTTAACACTTATAGCCCCCAACCGCACAGTGTATTCTCCTTAACCCCTTGAAAATTCCCACCACTATTGAAATGGGTTCAGCTTCACTATCTTGCACGCTCGCTCACACACCCCTTCCCTCCCCCCTCTCTCTCTCCCCTCCCCCTCTCTCTCCCCTCCCCCTCTCTCTCCCCTCCCCCTCTCTCTCCCCTCCCCCCTCTCTCTCTCTCCCCCCTCCCCCCCCCCCCTCTCTCTCTCTCTCCCCTACCCTCTCTCTCTCTCTCCTCTTCCCCCCCCTCTCTCTCTCTCTCCCCTTTCCCCCCCCCTCCCCCTCCTCCTCTCTCCTCCCTCCCCCTATTTCCCGTCCCTCTCCCTCCCCCTCTCCGACTCCACCCCCCCCCTCTCCCAGCTTGGGTAAAACCCTGGCCGGTGTCAAGAGATTGTTGTATTTTTCCTGTGGGTGTCAATGCCTTGATGACGTCACGGTGAGGGGGACCACTTGTTGAGTCTTCGCCTTGCTGCCCGCCACCTCCACCCCCCCCCCCCCCCCCCCAGGCCACACTGTGTCTCTGGGGGGGGGGGTGGAGACACACTTGTGTAGCAACATACACGAGTGTCACTCTGGGTGTGGCTACACTGTCCAATGTTTTATTGTTGACATTGGTCAATAACCAGCGGGCCATCTTTAGCCACCTGCATTGTGGGGATTTAAATGTTGTGTTTTAGTAGCCGATGGACCGTAGGCTGGTGTTAATATTTAACACTGTACTCGGCTAGTTGTGCTTGCGGGGGTTGAGCTTTGTCTCTTTGGTCCCGCCTCTCAACCGTCAAGCAACTGATGTACAGATTCCTGAGCCTACTGGGCTCTCATGCTTATATTTGAAAGGTATGGAGTCAGCCTCCACCACATCACTTCCTAATGCATTCCATTTAGTACCTACTCTTGACACTGAATAAATTCTTTCTAACGTCTCTGTGACTCAGAGACGTTGGTGGTGCCATGATGGCACCACCAACACTGTAGTTGTGATGCGTTGTGTGTTAGGGGTGAGGAAGGGTGAGAGTATGTAGATGACACGTAAGCGTGTGTCACAGTGAGGAAGAGTAGTCTATATGGGGACTGTCACTAGTGGAGCGTATAAGCAATGTCTCCCAGGAGTGAGACACTTCTCACTGTACCGATATTTTGTTTATATTTTGCTGACATTTTCCTATTATTGTTTACTTCTTAAAAGTCCATTTCGCCTCAATACTTTTAATGGGGCTGAACGGGGCTAAAATTATATTATAGCATTTTTTCTTTCCATTTATATAAAGACAAGTCCTGCTCTTTTTAGCGGTAACATTTAACAAAAATTGTCACTTGTTTATATTGAAAGAAAAATAAATGTTTTAATATAACTTGTTAGTGTAATTAACTCTGCACCAGAGTATAGGTATTACTTAGACAACGTCATTATATATACAGCCAATTAGCAGAACTGGAAAAACAGAATATATTTGTATTACATTTTTATTATGGAAAGGTCGGCGTCTCTACATTTAACACGACACAACTCTGAAGGTAAAAGATGGAACTAGTTTTATAGTCATTATGTTCAACGATATTTTCTTGGCCAGTCAATACGAGGTCATGAATGTTGGCAGTGTATAGTCACCATCAGCACGCCAACACTGTCGTGTTGGAACACCCTCCAACACTGCCATGTTGGCACACCCTCCAACACTACCGTGTTGGTACACCCTCCAACACTGCCATGTTGGCACACCCTCCAACACTGCCATGTTGGCACACCCTCCAACACTGCCATGTTGGCACACCCTCCAACACTACCATGTTGGCACACTCTCCAACATTACCATGTTGGCACACCAACACATACAACATTTTTGTTCACAATTGTGCACATTAATTCTGTATACTGCATACATAGACGCGATAAAGCACCTAAATTATTGGGATCGTCTCGAAGCTCTCCAGATGTACACACTAGAAAGGAGACGAGAGAGATACCAAATAATATACACGTGGAAAATACTGGAGGGTCAGGTCCCAAATCTACACAGTAAAATAACAACATACTGGAGTGTTATTGTATGCGTTGATTTGTGGGGTTCTTTCTTACATGTACGAGGAAATATTTTACATGTTAAACAAAAAGAAATTTACGAGTCATTTCTTATTTACGTTTCATTTGGTGAGTTGCTTAAGGTAGTGAATAGCTTATTCACTCCCGTTAATTAACTTTCTGGGAATTATGAGAACTGCTGATTCCCAGTCTAGTATTGCTTTAAATACTGATCTCTAATTGTGTTAAGGAATATGTGTATCCCGATGTGTGATCAACCGAGCTGTGTTGTCTATGTAAGAGTGCCAGCTGCAGGTGCCGACCGTGTGACCAACCTTATCTGGGCCAGCTTAATATATACAATATTTTCTGTATTAATGTCTTGGACGGGAGACATCTCCCGTCACGCAGGGTGCAGTCGCGCCTCCACAGATCTCCAGTATCAGCTCTTGATACTGGTAATGGCTCAAAGGGGCCACCACTTACGGGCTATTCATGCCCGTGCCACCTTTTGGCTGGCTTAATCTTCATCAATCTGTATTAATGTAACCTTTAAATCTTCAGCTTTAACAGACGGAAATTTGGCCATTGCTTGCATCTTAGTTAAGTTGACAGAACTGTCTGGCATTTGTTTCATTGCCACTTGTCTGGGTTCTTCAATTCCGAAAGGTTAGCTAAAGTAACACGGAAGCTGTCACCTCTGAAGTCTATTTATTTTGCTATTAATATCTGTGTGTGGAAATTTGATAGCCTTAGTACGTGTGGAGTAGAAAACTCTTATGTACTGAGGCGGAGGAGCGCTCTCAAGAGCAAGTTGTCTGCCTTTTTGTACATGCCGTGTGGGCATGTTGTCAAAGTAGCGGTGTGTACACAGTTGGTGGTGTTCCAGGGTCATGTTTATCTTAAGCTCGGTGGTGGTGGTGTACAGTTTGGTGGTGTGCTGTGTACACTAGGGAGGGAGGCGGGAGGGGTGATACCCCATCTTGGTTAATGGGGGGAAGTTAGTGGACCATCTTGGTTAGTGGAGGTGGAGTCCCTCGATTGTTTCAAGCGTGGCTTGGACATATATATGAGTGGGATTGGGTGGTTATAAATAGACGCTGCCTCGTATGTGCCAATAGGCCTTCTTCAGTTACCTTTGTTCTTGTGTTCTTAATTAGGGTGGGGGGGGGGAGGAGGGAGGACCTCTCCTGGTAGGTGTATGGAAACGTGACCAAACTTCTAGTTCTGCCAGGGGTTCGAATCTCGTATTTAACCGCAAACGTGCGTGATCTAAGGGAGCCCTAGCCGAGTGTGTGTTAAGAAGTTAAGAAGTTACTGTTTCTAGGTTTGTGGTAATACCATACAAAGATAGTGGTGATGGGTAAAGAAAGGGAACAGCCAGGGAGGGAGGGAGGGAGGCTTGCAGGCAGGTGAGGAGGGAGAAGAGAGGTTGCTTACTTAGGCTAGTTAAACTAGTCAGTGTGTGACAAGTTCCAGTAACGATGATCTCCAGTAACACCATAATGAACTAACAAACAGTAGTGGAGCACAACAGGAACACCCGCATAACGGAAATACAAAAACTGACATGGTTACTAACCAAAAAAAGTATTCAAAATTAGCGATAACATTAATAACGTTAAAACTGGCCACTTGTACCCCCACCAGCACCGCCGAGAGTAATAACTATCACAAACATTAAACTACACTGGCGGTTGTGAGGTATTTCGTGCAGGTAATGTTGGTAATTATGAGTGGCAGGTGTAATGTGGAGGTAATTACGTCAACCATCCTTGTCATCTGCGAGCAATGTTAAACTTCTCAGTGAAGATCACTTCCTTGGCTTGGCTCCATCATTCTAATACTCTCTTCCCAACCTGTAGCCTATACTGGCACTCTTGTAATACATGCTTATAACCGTGTTATAGTGCCACTTACTGCAGCCTACAGCTGTTATAGTGCCACTTACTGCAGCCTACAGCTGTTATAGTGCCACTTACTGCAGCCTACAGCTGTTATAGTGCCACTTACTGCAGCCTACAGCTGTTATAGTGCCACTTACTGCAGCCTACATCTGTTATAGTGCCACTTACTGAAACCTACAGCTGCTATAGTACCAGTCTACTTCCATGTTAAACTTGAAGCTCACATTACCCGGATTAAGATGCTTATACTTTTGTTGTGATAATTTAAGGAAAAAGAGGAGTAGTAACACGAGCAGCCAGTAGTAGTAGTGAGCAGTGGCGTCATCGTTATCAACTCTATTATCATCTGTGTATTGTAAATACTTTACCTTTGTGCTCTGAATGTTGTTCCGTCCCAGTAGGTAACTGTATCCCGCTCAGGACCTCTCGTGTCATATAACCTTGCTCCTCCAGCTTTAATGAGGCTTTAGTGCGGGTATTGTAGTAAATGATAATCGCAGAAAACCGCGGTTTATCCAGTCTTGTCTAGTGTTAGTTACTCTCGTACATTCATAATAAATTCGTCAGTTGCTTCTTTCGTGGGTGTGTTATGTCGTGGCTGCTGCTGCTGTCTGTCCCCAACCCTACGGATGCCCCGAGGGTGCCGTAGACAAGGTCGAGATGCTGGTGGTAGGGCGAGGCATGTCTTGGAAGCTCACAGTGTGTGGTGTGAAGGGAGGGAGGGAGACAAGTGGTGATAATAGTGATAGCTTACGATAAGATAACGGGAATAAGACAGATTTAAAGCAGGACCCACCACGAGTCTCGGTGTACTGTGAAACACTGTCTTTGGTCAAGTTGCATGCATGTGTAAGTGTAAACAAAGTGTAAACTAAGTGTACAAAGTGTACTAAGTGTAAACAAAGCCGTTGAGATCAGCGAACCCAACAAGTTGGATCCAGAAAGCAATGGGATTAAGTTTTGTATATACGTGTTATGCTCCGTACAGAGATTGTGTTGACCTCTTGCTTTCCTCAGTATATTTATCTCTTGATTTCTGTTTCAGGATCCTGCTGGAATCTTCGATTTAATTGAGGTGGTTGGCAATGGAACCTACGGCCAGGTGTACAAGGTAGGTGTTGGTTGTGTTGATGTAAACATTAGAGAGATGTTCACTGTGTTAGTGACACAGGGAAGGAGAGGAAGGGAACACGGCTAGTGTAGTAGCAGCTAGAGGCGGCCAAGGTTGTATGATGTCACCGCCTGTCCTCTCTCACTCGCCCGCACTAGTGTGTGTGTGTGTGTGTGTGTGTGTGTGTGTGTGTGTGTGTGAGACTTCTCGGCTAGTGTGTGACTTCCCCGGCTTGTGTGTGACTTCCCCGTCCATTGTGTGACTTCCCCGGCTAGTGTGTGATGTCTGGGGTTGGAGTGAAGAGACACCGGGTCGGCCGTAACGTGACCTACACTGCAGATGTGACCCATTTTAGCGGTGGTAAACTTAGCCCAGCCTATCCCGGGGCTGACAAGGCGTCCTGTACCACTTCCCGGCGACAACCTCACTCCCAGCATTAACACGACAACTCTCCACAAAACAACTCGAGAAAATGCATGCACTCGAAATTATTCCCCAGTTCCATGAATATCAAACCGTTTTACATTATTTAAAATTTTCAATGGAAATGTAAATGGGACAATGCGGGATCCATTGCTATAAATGCGACGCGAGTGTTATTTTTAAGGGGCGGGTTTTGATCAGATACTGGAGGTCAGTAGAGGGAGCGGGGGAGAAAGGTCAGGCAGACGGGATCTCACGTTACCCTGGTGTGTGTAACACCCACGTGAAAATGCACGAAACAAAAGCTGAGAAAATTTCGAGATGTCCAACAAGACATCCTTGATTCCTCAGTTCCTGAACTGAGGAACTCGAGCTACGAGGAAACACTGAGGGAACTGGAGTGACACCTGAGTACTGGAGGAATAACGGGACATGGTGACTTGAAGAGTTTCTAAATGTACTTTAGAAAGTGGACAAATAAGCAGTGCTCGAAGCTAGTAACAGCAGAACAATGACACAGATGGGAACAAGGCACACACACGTGTCTGGCAGGTGTCAGAGCTGTAGATAAGTAGAATGAGTTAGACCTTAGCCAATGAAGTGCTGGAAACTGACTCAATACACAACGTTAAGTGTAAATATGTAAGACAAACGCGGGAAGCGAGTCATAACATTGAAGTAAAGAATGATGGGAAGGCTGGACTAGGCGTGGTCCTGGACTCTGTAACACGTACACACAGTTTCAAACATGGATGTGATAGAGCCCAATATTCCCAGGAACCTGTACACCAGTAGATTGACAGTCGAGAGGCGGGACCAGAGAGCCGAAGCTCAACTCTGCAAGCACAAGAGGTTGAGTACATTGAGCGACACTTGCATTAATCAAGATTCACCAGCATTAGTAACACTTGTGGTTCATGGTCGATCCTACGGTGATTTTGGCCAGGCTCTTCACCTCACTTTACAGTAATGAAGGATAACTTGTATAGCAACGCTCCCTCCCTCCCTCTACAAATTACGGGCTATTCGTGCCCGTGCCACATCTTGGGTGGCTTACTCTTTATCAGTCAATCAATCTCCCTCCCTCCCTCCCTCCCTCCCTCTGCAGGATGTCCAAAATGACTCGACTCCATATAAATGCATACCATCTTTCCAATTGAATTACAATAAAGATAATATGATAGTGTTGAAATATCAAGTACTGGTACTGCTCTATGAACGCTGGAGAACCTGTAAACAACATTCACGTCACTAAGGCACTCAGCAAGAACCTAAATTATGTGTTCTCGATGGATGAGGTATGGCTCTACCCAAGAGGATAGAGCCATATCTATCGCTTACCACAGAGGGAAGCAGCGAGGATAGCAGCAGTGTTCTTCAACGCCAACGCACACAAGATAACCACAGAACTGAAGGAAGGAAGCAGGAATATGGAGGCCACCCTGGAGGGACTTGGTTGAGGAAGCGATCCTTCATGTCATGAGGGACACGCTCTCCAATTTGAAGGTCGAGCGTGTAGACAGATTAAAGGTACGGCGACTGGTGCATCCAGTAGCGTAGCCATGGGCGAAATCTTCTTGCATGTTGCCTTAGAGAAACTGAGAACCCGTAGACAAGATGCTCCATTAATCTACTACAGATATTAATATCTTTGAGATAATGGCGGAGGGAGTCCAAGACCAGACCCTGCAGGCTTTCTTCACATGGGCGAATACAGTTCACAGCGATCTGAAGTTTGCGCTACAATACGACGACTCAAGTAATTTTCTGGATACTACAGTCTACATAGATCGGACCAGTAGGTGCCTACAGACGAATGCATACTACAAACCAACAAATCAACATACCTACCTAAGATTTGACTGGAGTCGCCCTCGAGCACTGAAGAAATCTCTACCATACTCGCTTGCCACACGCCTAAAGACGATAAATAGCACAGAAGAAACCCTGGATCCCCAGCTAAAAAATGCGTGGGACATGTTCGGGGATAGGGGATACCCAGAAGATATTCTGCACACCGCCCAGGCAAAACTGCCAGGGAAGACAAGGACCCAACTCCTGGAACCACCTAGATCGAGGACTGAGGACAAGAGATGGATTATTCCCACCCTGTTTTTTCCAGGCCTAGTGAAACAACTCCAGGAGAAGATGTCGGTAGTCTGGTCCTGGTTGAGAGAGACCTACAAGGTACGCCCCACGTGACCAGAATTTCCTAAGGATCCACCCATGATCGCATGGAAAAGAGGTAAATCCTTAAGACCTAGTTACCTGGTTGATACCTGGTTGATGGGGTTCTGGGAGTTCTTCTACTCCCCAAGCCCGGCCCGAGGCCAGGCTCGACTTGTGAGAGTTTGGTCCACCAGGCTGTTGCTTGGAGCGGCCCGCAGGGCCACGTACCCACCACAGCCCGGCTGATCCGGAACTTCTCTTAGAAAACCGTCCAGTTTTCTCTTGAAGATGTCCACGGTTGTTCCGGCAATATTTCTTATGCTCGCTGGGAGGACGTTGAACAACCGCGGACCCCTGATGTTTATACAGTGCTCTCTGATTGTGCCTATGACACCTCTGCTCTTCACAGGTTCAATCTTGCATTTTCTTCCATATCGTTCACTCCAGTACGTTGTTATTTTACTGTGTAGATTTGGGACCTGACCCTCCAGTATTTTCCAGGTGTATTAGGGCGGGTCCCCGCCCGTTGGCCTAGCCAAGGTGAACCACAAAATAAGCGGAGGTATAGATACAACCAGACTAACCTGACCTGACCCAGGAGGGCAACATCCTCCTCCTGTATAGAGAGTCCGAGGAGTGGTTAGAAAGGCCCTACATTACACCCCTCACTAAGTCACTCAATAACGCCTACATTATCCGGACTGCTTAAAATCCCTTTAAATGTATTCCCCTGGTATGCAGGCCAGAGAGATACATCATAATCTACAGCCTGAAAATATTACAAAAACTGGTTTCAAATTTGTATACGAAAATAAATATGTATAAACCCGAAGACATGGCTAAAATGTGCAAAATAGTCACATTTAAAAATGGAGATGGAATAAATAGTGTTAGGAGACAGTCCATATTCCTTAATGGTGAGTGTTGCCGCTCTTCTCAAAGTGGCAACTCAGAGAGTTACTCAGGCTTATTTCCGCTACGGCATGACTCCTTACTTCTCACTTAACAAGTCCTTTATTCAAGTATGATTCTCTAAATTCTTCAGTAAGGTTTGTAATCGTCTCTTGTGTATGAGAGTTTAAAGGTCGGTTACCTTCTTGTCAAAGATGTATTGGAAATTGATATGCTTCGTATCAGTTCATCATTATTTAGTTTGAAAATAATCGATTTAGACGGTTGGTGTATATAGTGGTTTTTATGTACGTTTGTCACATAATGTTAAGTTGTATGTGACTGTTCCTTATAGACTACTAGCACTGGGATTCTCCTGTTGTGTGTGATCGTCTCACTCCTACCTCCTTGGTGTCAGAAATTGTTATCACCCAGAAAGATAATGGAGCTTGGAGCGGGATTCCTGAGGTGTAACAGGTACATCAGCTGGACTTAATATTGCTGGTGATTTACATCTGGTGAGTTGTGTACAAGGACAATAACTCAATATTGGTTTTCAGTTTTGAGTGAGAGAAGTGCCTTCATACGAGTTGTGGTGTATGACAGCTGTATAGAGATGGCGAGTCTTCGTATAACATTGAGGCGAAGCCCGCCCTTCAACCGGGTTTTCCCAGTTACATCTGTAAACATTTTTATCTGGAAATCTATATTTCACTTATATTCTATCTATAATGGGAGTTTCTATTATGGATGGAAACACGCGGGTGACTTGGTTATTTCTGCGTGTCTTGACACTCATGCCAGATATGAATGATGTAATAGTATTTATACTAATGCTACTGTCTGTAGATGTGTACCAATATATCGGTGGTATCGACCTATTTTTGTGGTATCGCTATCGGCCATATTTCAGCTTGGTATGGTTCTGACATCTGACAAAAAATCAAGTAGAATATTAGTCAGAATTTTGGTACGGGATCCCCTCTAATTTTGTTGTGGTGATAATGTTTGTGTTGTAGCGAAGGTGGTGTCAGAGGTGTTATGTGGTGTTTTGCACGTGTCCTCAGTTGATTGATTGATTGATGAAGATTAAGCCACCCAAAAGGTGGCACGGGCATGAATAGCCCGTAAGTGGTGGCCCTTTTGAGCCATTACCAGTATCAAGAGCTGATACTGAAGATCTGTGGAGGTGTGACTGCACCCTGCGTGACGGGAGATGTCTCCCGTCGTGTCCTCAGTGGTGGTGTGGTGTTGATATTTGTCATGCTCATGACATGCATGTCATGTCATGTCATGATACCCTTCCGCATGCTGCCACTCTGGTGTTAATATAGCTATACCCAAACACATCTGGGTCTAGCTGCTCCTTATTACTTAACATAGTTTGTTTACACTGTTATATTTGAGTGTCCTTCATAATTATTTACATACCTTTTTGTCCAAGGCCATACACGTGGGCACCACTTACACCCTTCACCATACACCCACCATACACCCACCATACACGTGGGCACCAC